TCTATTGGTAGAGCCGAGGTCAAGTGCCCACAACCCTAGTTACAACAAAAATGAAGTAGAATGTGGATGGAGAGAAGTCTGAAGAGGTTAGTTGAGGGTCAAATTATAAAGGATCTTTTTTTGAATATCCTCTTTTTAAAAAAAATTACATATTTTGCTCCACTGGGTCTTAGGTGCAGCATGTGGGACTGTCAATCTTCACAGTGGTATGCAGGATCTTTTTATTTTTATGTGGACCTTTTTAAAAATCTTTATTGAGTTTGTTACAATATTGTTTTTGTTTTATGTTTTTTATTCTTTTTGGCTACAAAGCATGTGGGACCTTAGCTCCCCTACCAAGGACCAAACTGGGGAGGGAGGTAATGAATTTTGTTTCCATCCTGTTGCCTTTGAGACATCTGTGACAGTGAGATGAAGCTACTCAGAAAACAGCTGGAGGAACACTGGGGACATGAGCACTTGAGAGTTGGGAAGAAGAGGAGGATCCCACAAAGGAGTCCAGGAAGCCAGGCAATGGGGAGAAGGCTCAGGAGACAGCAGTGTCTTGGCTTACAGGATATTTCAGGAATAAAGTGATGTATAGTACAGAGGTCCAGCAAAAAAGAGGCTGACAAACCAGTAAGCTTACTTGGGGAAGTTTCAGTACAATGGTGGGATGGGAGCCAGGCTGAAGCATCACTAGCATACAACTAAATGTGTGATGGCTACCATTCTCTACCAAACACTGAAAGCACACACAGACCCTGCACTCACATAGCAATCTGTCCCAAACAGCCCTGATATCTTTATGTTTAAACTATCTCAGGCTCTCTATTGGTTCTTGCTGAAGCAAACCAGATGCTTAAGTCTCAACCAGAGATTCCTGCCCTGCTCTCCGATGGAGCACCAAATGGGACAAAAGCATAAATGTCCCTCGCCTAGTTGAGGGGAACAATGGCTTCCTGAGCCCCAGAACCTTTGGCTGATCTCAGGAGCATAGTACATTTAGGCTGTCGTTTCAGTGGCTGCCATCACTCCTTGCCACAGATGGGTCAAATTACCATAATTAGAATAACAGACACCTCAAACTGTTTGTTTATAACTATCTTATCCACAGAACATTCATTCCCCTTCTGGAGGAAAGAGTGCAAATTATGACCATAAGCACTAACTAGAATCAGGAGCAATGGTCCTGCACCTAAGCCTTGCCAGAGAAATTACTTCTTCATTTCTCTCAGGCTCTCTTTATATAGTAAAGTGGTCACCCAAGAGAAGAATCACTGAATGGCCTAACTAAGCCCAGGGAAAGGAACAAACAAACTCAGACAAAATCAAATACATTCATTCAAGGGAACAGGAAGTTTAACTGATGCCATGGCAACACCAGCAGCCTGTGACATCAGAGCAGAAGGCAAGGAACAAAGAGATTTGTGAGCTACCTTTCCCCGGGTCTTCTCTCCCTTGAAATTTGACTCATGCTGCTTATTTGGAACTGTTTCAGAATAGTGCCATTTAAAACTCCTCTTGCTACTTTTCTCCAGCATCTTCTTGGAGATTAGCCAAAACCACATTCTGGAAATCTGCTGAGTGCCACGATCTTATTAATATGCAATGAGATCCTATTTCAGACTGCTTGTAATACCGGGCTGCCAATCAGCTACAGGGTAAGGACATAAAGTGTAAAACTAAAAATATCTGGAAAAAATTAAAGGGGAGACCAAATAAACTGAAGCTTCATCACCACTTTAGGTTGGAAATTTACACAAGAAGTTTTTGAGTGAGTGGAATTTTTAGGGAGAATGGCTTCCCCAGGTTGGAGTGGAAAAATACCAGGCTCTGTGGCCGGAAAGAAGGTCTACAAACCAGGAGCGAGAGAGAAGCTGCTATAAACGTTCCCCTCCCCCTCATTCAGCAGCAGCCGCTGGGTATTACTAACCTCCCCTGTAAGAAGCTACAATTGATTCCAGTCAGGAGTCTCTTAAGGCAGAATAGAATGAGCCGGCAATTTTAGCAAAGCTAGGCTCAGTTTACCAGATGGGCTGCAGGTTTACCCAGTATTAAAAAATAGCGATTAGCAGAAATTGCTTTCCTCAGTGTAAAAGACACTTCTAAAAAGAAAGAATGTACAGCTGATTCAAAGAGACAGTATCTTCATTTATGGGGTTCCCTGGTGGATCAGACTGTAAAGAATCCACCTACACTGTGGGAGACCTGGGTTCAATCCCTGAGGTGGGAAGATCCCCTGGAGGAGGGCATGACAACCCACTCCATTATTCTTTCCTGGAGAATGCCCATGGACAGAGGAGCCTGGTGGGCTATAGTCCATGGGGTCGCAAAAAGTCAGACACTACTGATCGACTAAGTACACACATCTTCATTTATAAGCAGGAAGAGGGGGACGATCTCTTCCCATCAGGTAACTTGTTGACACATGAAGAGTAAACCTTCTCTCTCATCTTTGGTGGTAAACTTGGAAAGTTATTAAAGTGATCAATTATACTTCCTTCTTCAGTAGGGTTCTCTATTATTTAACAGAAAAGTTTTCAATATTCAAACCAAGATACCACATCCATATGTAGCCAGAGGTGTACGAAGGGCCCTTCAATTCAAGGTGATTTCGGAGAGTTCATTAATCCTGTTTTAAAGGGAGATGACCCACCCCTGGAATGGACTCAATGATCAGCAGAGATTTCTAAGCAAGCGTGGGGAGGGGATTTGTAGCCCACCTAGCCTCTGTATTACTGTCTCCAGGACCTATAGTTCCCTACTGCCCTTTTGCACTTTATAGCTCCAGAAGAGATATGTGAATGGTCCTAATAGAGGAAATGGCCTTGAATAGCAGCTAGAAACATTTGAGTTCGATATAAGAAACTTCCTACCATAAGGGTATTGGAATTTGGTGCCCTGTTACTAAAAAGCTTTTCCATTACTAGACAAATGGCATATATCTGTGGGTGCGATTTACTTCTGGTTCTGTATGTTTAGAACACTATCCTGATTACAAGACAGCAATATTACTTCTGATTATCTGGGTTGTCTGTGAAAATGCACATGCCTGGGTCCCACTTAAGAGCCAGTAAATCAGATTTGTCCTCAGTGAAGCCAAGGAATCTCTGTTTCTGACAAGTAAACCAAGTTATTTTCATAATCAGGGAAGTCTGGAGAACACAGATCTAAGTCTCTGCTTACAGTCATAGAAAGTCCTTAAAACTAAGGAGGAAACAAATGACATGAAGACAGGAAACTGGTTAGACGGATCAATCAGAAGGACCTCTGACTGAGTTAGGAGAACTAGAATTTCGAGGAAAGGTTGACTCTCCAGTGGGAGAGGGAGCCAGCATCCTCAGCACCACTTTGCAGTCACCAGCACTTGTTCCAGGTCCTGCCTCACTCCACCTCCTTGCCTTCTCCATTTGCTCTTTATTGCAAGAAGACTTTGCCTGAAGACTCCTCCATAGATCTTAAGCTGCAGGTGAAATCCAAGGGAGGATGGAAAGCGCTTTCCAAGCACACCGTGCAGTTCCAGGATATAAGAGAATAAGACTCTGAACTGGCCTATTAACATCCTTCAGACTTCTAAAATTCAGCCACTCACCCAGATCCGAGAGCCTTTTCATCAAGCCAGCTTCTCTTACAGCAGCAGGACCATATTCCACTCCTTTTCTTTTCTGTAAGTTAAATTAGAGCTAGATGTGAGGGAAGATGACTGAAAATTAGACCACAAAAAATACAGAAGTCTGCAATGGTATTCTTAGTTTCCAGCAGATCCCTCTGGAAACCTGTGACAGCATCAGCCCTTCCTTTTATTCTTTTAATCTGAGTTTTGGTCATTTCAAACACTTGGAGGGAAGGAGGAGAGAGACAACAACCACTGGATTCAAATCAACCTCCCAAGCCCCTCGGGGTCGGGAAGGGCAGGCGGAGATGACCGAGCCTGAGCCAGGTCAGAATCTGGCTGCTGGGTGTGTGCGTCGCTGGCCTGGGCTGAGCCCTGGCTTCTCCATCAGTGAGCTCTCCATGACTGCAGGTTTCTTTCATTGAAGAGAGGATAAACAGCCCCTCAGTCTTCCCGCCGCCGGAGAGACAAGCGCCGACTTCCTTTCCAGTGAACGCTCTTTCTGAGAATAGACCCTGGAGGCTTAAATCCTCGGTCGCTCTCTTTAGCCTCTCCGCCCTCGATTTTCCACTGGGGATTCTCCTCGGTTTCTCCTCCTCCAGCCCCTTTGTGAAATCCTCTCCCGTCTTTCATCTCCTCCATCACCCCGAGGGGAACCCATCCCTCTCTCGCTCCTCGGAGAGGAGGCCGAAGAAACCCACCAGGCCGCTTCCCCGGGCACCGCAGGGTGCCCTCCATCCCCTCCCTCCTTTCCCATCTTCTACCCCGGGGAAAAAAAATCCCACGTGCTCTCCCGGTGTCCAATCGCGGGAATCCACCACCTCATCCCCCCTCCGTTTCTCCCCATCCTCTCCTCGCCTCCTTGTTCTTTCCACCGGTCCCGATTTTCTCCGGGGCTCGAGTGAGGGGGTGCGGGGGTGGGTGTTGAGGGGAGAGGAACCCAGCCCCAAAGTGCCAGGTCCCAGTCCTCACCTGTCCCTGGGAGAATGGGGCTCCAATGACAGCCACGGAGTGGACAGACTTCTTCCGGACGGAGTGCACTTGCGTCCGGAGGAGACGCGAGAGGTGGCTCCTCAGGGACATGATGGGCAGCGCAGGAGGTAGCAGACCCAGAAGTCTGCTGCTTGCGGATCGCCTACTGAGGTGAGCGCCGGGGCCGGCAGAGCTTAAAGCCTACCGGCGCGCGCCGCCCCGCCCCGCCCCGTGACGTCACCGCCGCCCGGCCCCGCCCAGGCCCCCACCGCCTCGCCCCCAGCCAGCCCACGGCACACCTTCCTGCAGGCCCCGCCCATTGTTGCTCCGTGCCCCTGCTCTCGCTGATGTCACTTGGCTCGGGTTCGGGCTCTCGGGCCAAGGACTTGCCCCTGCCGCTGACGCCACAGGGCCAAGATCGGGGGCCTAGCCAATAAGGAGGAGGTCCCGGAGAGGTGTGTCCCTTGGCGGGAACCGGCCGCCGCCCCCCACCCCACCCCCCAAATGCGCGAACTCAGCGGAACATGCGAACCAACCAACACGTACGTAGGCTCGAGCATCGTGACTCTCTTCGCACAAATGCACGCCTGGCAGATGCCAGTTCTACGGAAGAGTTGGCTGTGGCTGGACTTGGTCCAACCCCATGTGAGTGCCTGGCCAAGACCAAGTTGGTGTCCATCGGCTCCGTTTCATCTCAGAGCTCAAGGTCCAGAAAACGTGCTTATCACCTCCTTTGGGAGTCAAAAGCTAGGAGATCCAATATAGATTAGAGCTCTCCGGGAGGGGCGTGTTAAACCCACCTATTTTAGGTATTTTGTATGTGAAGATTAGGATTTATAAATTACCTTCTAGGCGTTTTCAGTTCTTCATCTGAATAACGGGAGTACCGATTATTAAAAAACAAGCATAGCAACGTATCTGAACTACTTCTCAATTTTAGAGAGGCTAAAGAGCTGATAGTAACTACTTAAAGTTGTAATAGTAATATTCTAATAACCGACGTAAGTTCTAAGAACTTTCAGCCCTCTAACAATTCCATAAAGTATGGATTATTTTAAGGTCGTGGAGACAGGATTAGAGAAGATAATACTTTTCCAAAGTCAGGAAGCAGGTAGCTACCTGACTCTAGATTCCAACCCCTTAACCATGATTAGTGTCTTACAGGAATGACTTGTAAGGAATGATTTATAGAAATCTGGACGTTATTCCTATCAAAAATAAATTTTTATATAAATACCTGAAAATGTTTTCACCTGATGCCAACTTACATGCAGCTCTCTAAAATATTTCAGAAGTCTCCATGGCAATGTCGTAATTCCAAGGAGCTTTAGTACTATAAGGCAGATTTTGTTTCTTTGTTTTTTGGCTGCGCTGCGGGAGCTTGTGAGGGATCATAGTCCCCCCCGACCAGGGGACCAGGGATCCAACCGGTTGTTGGCAGTGAAAACACGGAATCTTTCCCACTGGACCACCAGGGAATTCCTGAGGTGGTTTTATTTTTAAAGGATAAATTTTATACCTGTCTCCCCCTGCTGGTTTAGAAAGAGGTGTCTTTGAAGCCTTTGCAAAATAAGCAGAGTATTACTGTGAGGCAGTGGTTTTGAAAGTGTTGTCCCAGATCAGCAGGGTCAATATTTGCATGCTTGGCAGAAATGCAAATTACTGAGTCTGACCCCCCCCCCCCCAAACGTTATTGGCTAAGTAACTCTTGGGGTAGGGAGCCAACGGCCCGGGGTTTTAAACAAGTTCTCCAGGGTGGGGGAGTGCAGAGAGCCTGGATGGGGTTGTGGTCAGGGAGCCACTGATTTGTCACACTTGAGCAGATCCTTGTAATTATCTAAGTGCATTTTTCTTGCCCATCGACCCACCCATTTTTTCCCCCTTGCTATGTTTTCAGAAGTTAATACTGTCACAGATTACCTCAGGTTTTCCTGGAAACCTCAGCGCATGAGCACCTACTGTGAGTCACCAGATTGATTTTCTAAAGTATTGCATGAATCCTGCATGTCACTTTCACTGGTCTTCCACCACCTACAATTTACTCACAGGTAAATTACTAGTTCCACAATACTATACATCAGGGGAGTGAATAGTAGATTTTTATATCACTATTATATTTTAAAATTATTAATTTTATATATCTGAAATATTTTATAATTCATTTCTTTAAAACCCAAAGTTCAAATAACAAGGTCTGCTTTTATTTCCAAAATAGGTATTTATTTTCAAAATAAGTAATTAAAGATAATATTCTAACATTACATAAAAGAATGAATTAAATTTTAGAAATTTATTTTAAGACTTGTAGTACTCTTTTATAGCATAGCGCTTGGACCTTTCCTCAGGTCCAAATCAGCTGGTTCTCTTTCTTCTTCCTTTGTAGGAGGACCTAGAGATTCTGCCTCTGCAATTCACTGGCTACCAACACATACTCTATCCCTTGATAGATTGCTGGGAGTGTGTGCTGGAGGTGCTAGGTGGGGGGGTGGTCAGTAGGTAAGACCTGATGATGGTGTTGAGAGATCTTTCTCGTGTAAATACTCCACAAGGGCTATCATTTCAAGCTACCATTGTGATGTCACTGAACATGAAACTGGGAAAATGTGCTGCTTATAAAATATTTTCACCATATGTATACAATCACCATAAATAACCTCAAGAGCATAAAAAAGTAAGATATAGTAAAATAATTAGGCATAAAGTTTTGAGTATATCTTTGTTTTTATTATGATTTACTTGTAAGTTTATATAATTTGACTTTTAATGATGGCAATGTTTAACAACTGGCTTGCAAAATTCCTGAAAATTTGACAACAGGGTCTTGTGTGTGCTTAGTCGCTCGGTCATGTCCAATTCTCTGCAGCCCCATGGGAACCGTGCCCCATGGGGACTGTAGCCCGCCAGGCTCCTCTGGCCATGGAATTTTCCAAGCAACAATACTGGAGCAGGTCGCCATTTCCGGCTCCAGCAGATCTTTCCGACAGGTGGCTAAAAGCAGTGTCCAGCACACCACTGTTTAGTACAAATCTAAGGGCACTCCAATGTTCTTGCCTGGAGAATCTCAGGGATGGGGGAGCCTGGTGGGCTGCCATCTATGGGGTCGCACAGAGTCGGACATGACTGAAGCGACTTAGCAGCAGCAGCAGCACCAGCAGAAAGGGAACTCAGAGAGGACTAAATTGCAAATTCTCAAAGGCAGGAACCATGACTCTTTCTGTTCATCATTTGATCCTTTCCAGAGTACAGTGCTTGGCACATAACAGGAGCTTGGTAATGAACAAAACTTAGACTTTTATGAAGCCCTTATTCATGGTCCTTGGTCTAGGGCTCTGATACGGTAAGTGGAAATTTCCAAAGGGCTGAGCTCATTGACCACACCTTTTGACTCTAAAGTCTGTGTGTATGCTCACTCAGTTGTGTCTGACTCTTTGCAACCCCATGGACTATAGCCCACCAGGCTCCTCTGTCCATGGGGATTTTCCAGGCAAGAATACTGGAGTGCGTTATCATTACCTCTTCCAAGGAATCTTCCAAACCCAGGGATCAAACCCGAGTCTCCTGCATTTCCTGCACTGGCAGGCAGATTCTTTACTACTAAGCCACCTGCTTAGCCCGACTCTAAAGTTTAGAGCCTCTTAGTTAAACTATTCATGTATTCATTTATTGTCAATATTTAACACATTTAAATATTGTCAATATTTAAAGTACAAAAAAACATTGTTCTATGTGTTGTTGACAATGACAGATAAAATCTCATCGCTCCCAGTACTTACATTCTAGTGGGGAAAACAGTTAAGCAGATACATAATTGAGCAAGCTCCTGGGAGATAGTGAAGGACAGGAAAGCCTGGTGTGCTGCAGTCCATGGGATTGCAAAGAGTCAGTTGTGACTTAGTGACTGAACACACACACACAGATACATAATTTCAGATGGCAGTAAATGGTATGGAAAAAATAATGTAGAGTAATGGAACCAGATGTACTGTTTTAGAGAGAAGGGTCAAGAAAGGCCTCTCCAAACTGACATTTGAGCCAAAGACCTGAATGATAAGGAGCTACCATAACAAGTTCTAGGAAAAGAGCCTTTCAGACTTATAGGAACAGCAAGATCAATAGCCCTAAGTTGAAACCGGCTTGTGGGTCAGAAGAACAAGAATGCCTATATAGCCCAAATGTCCAGAGCAGAGGAAACACGGTGACTTGGGTCATGTTGGTAGGTGGGGGTCAGATGTCAGGGGCATCGGTGAAGAGCATAAACTTCAGAAAAAGAATTTTTACAGAAAGGCAGACGATTAATGTTTCTGAATCTGCATTAGGGAGTTGGGAAAATGTGGTCCCTTCTTTCTTTGCTTTTCCATCCTGGAGCTGGGAGAATTCATACAATACAGGTAAGGAAGCCGAGGATGAGTTCTAAGGAGGGTAAGACATAACAGTCTGTTTACCATGCAGTGGGGATTCCTGGGTTCAGTAGAAAGCCTGAAGTGAGGGGAATAGAAGAGGGGACGTGGGAGTAAATGACTGGTCTCACTGCCTGCCCAACCAGTAGTCCTGTGTGGAGGGAGGTGCCTGAGCCCCTCACATACTCATCACTCCCCCCACCCTCACCCTCAGCCCCACAACACAGAGGGGGATTTTATTTTTAGCCTTGATCAGTGATAAAGAAGTAAAAACAGACCAACAGCTGCCATCAAAGGCCAAATGAAATTTAGGTGTGAAATCTCTTTTAGCGCAAGCAGAGGCTGGGGCCTCGAAGGACATCAGAACGCTTTGTCCTTGGTCCAGGTCTACACTACAAACAGCCTCGGTCCAGGTCTACACTACAAACAGCCTCCAAGCCCTTTGCACCTTACTGTTCTTTCTGTTTAGGACTTTACTTCCTTTCCCTCCCTCCCTCCCTTCCTTCCCTTACTTAGTTCCTTCTCATTCTTCAGGTTTTCAGTTTGAAGTCACTTCTTCAAGGAGGCCTTTCCAGCCCCTCCAATGCTGAGTTAGACATGACAGTACTAGCTAACATTATTGGATGATTACTATAAACTAGATACCCGCTCACCGCGTTGCAAGTGTTATTTAAATTTTCGTCACAATGTAGTGAGGTAGGCACTGGTATTATCTCCATTTAAGATATGGAAACCAAGACTTGGTAAGGTGAAGTCCTTTGCTTAGGGTCACAGTAAGTGGTCAAAAGCAGAATCCAAAACCAAGTCAGATCAATAGCGTTGATTACTCCTCTCATGGTTCGCTGCAGCCTCTGACTTACAATCATCCGTTAAGAGGATGCTCTCTTTCTCCTGGACAGCAACTTCTCTGAGAGCCTGAATAGTGTCTTACTATCATTTAACACAGTGCCTGGTACAGAGGGGTGTTCAATAAATTTTTATTGAATAAATAGATACTAAATGACATATGTGTCTTTTTAAATTGAAGTATAATTAATTTACAATGTTGTGTTGGATTCTGGTGTACAGAAAAGTGATTCAGATTATACATACATATACATATATTTTCATATTCTTTCCCAGTATAGGTTATTATAAAATATTGAACATAGTTCCCTATGCTATCCAGTAGGACCTTGTTATTTATCATAAGTGAGTTTTAAAAGAACTCATGTCTCTGTACAGACTGCTATGCTTAAAATGGATAACCAACAAGGACCAACTGTATAGCACATGGAACTCTTCTCAATGTTATATGGCAGCCTGGTTGGGAGGGGAGTTTGGGGGAGAATGGATACATGTATATGTATGGCTGAGTCTCTTCATTGTTCACCCGAAACTATCACAACATTGTTAATTGACTATACCCCAATACAAAATAAAAAGCTTTAAAAGATTAAAAGAAGTTATGTCTCTTTATACTGTGAAAGTTCTGAGGATGTAATTACCACTCTTCTATGGGGCAGGGAAGAACTCATGGAACTGGCATTCAAGCTGAGCTTAAGGATTTTCCAGGAGGAATCTGTAGGGTGTTTGTAACTTCAATGATGAATGTGGACGGAGAGAGTCAATAAATATTTGGGCTCCCACTTTATCAGATAGTGTTCTAGGATCTTGGGGTACAGTGATAAAGAGTCCAAGCTCTCCTTGAGACAGAGAATTGTAGGTATTGATCTGCATGATAAGTAAAACATGTGTGATAAATAAGGTAATGTGGTAGAGAGTATGTATGAGGGAGAACTTTGTCAACCAGTGCAGTCAGGGAGGTGAGGGACAGAGGTTAAAAATATGGAGCAACTGAAAAACAGGGTACTGAACTGCAGATTAGGAGAGGTTTTAAAGCCTGGGTGAGGAGGAGGATGGTGTACTAGAGTAACATGTATATAATATATATTATACAATATAGAGTAACAGAATGGTGGTGCTAGAATGATAGTTCTAAAAGAATGAATAGGGACTTCCCTGGTGGTCCAGTGGTTAAGAATCCACCTGCCCACGTAGGGGACTCAGGTTCAATCCCTGTTCCAGGAAGATTCCACATGCCATGCTGGAAGCGTGCTAAGCCCTTACGCCAGAAATACGGAGCCCACAGTCTTGAGACTGGGCGCCACAACCAGAGAAACCACCGCAGTGGAAGCCTGCCTGCTATGACTAGAGAGGAGCTCCCGCTTGCCGCAAGAGCAGCCAGAAGACCCAGAGCAGCCAAATATAAATAAAATTTAAAAGAGGGATTGTGTGGTCTTTTTAAAAAAAGATGAAGAGCCCACCAAAGTTGTATGAAAATTATTTTAATAATATCTGATATGAGCCATAAAAAGACATAAAAAAAAAAAAAAACTTAAGCAGAGCCTCCTGAAAACACAGTTGCCATTGACTCCCACCCCTTACTCCACTGAGGGATTTTCCTGCTTGGGAAATGACTGACCTTTAACACCAAAGAGGGAACTGGCTGCCTATTGGCATCAAAAAGCCAAACAGAATTTTCCATACTTTGGAGTATGAAGTCCTCCCCACTTCTTTTGTTAAGTTGGTGTATATAGCTTTACTCTGGCTATTCAGTGAGTTACTCTTACTAACTTCCTTTCCTCCTGTTAATCCCTTGTCAGTTAATTTGCAAGCACCACCCCCCCTCCCCAGTCACTTGAACCTAAAATGGCAGAGGAAAATATTTCTCCCAACAGTTTTCGACCCTGGCAGCTGATAAAAAGAACCTAGGGTTCTTGCCTGGAGAATCCCAGGGATGGGGGAGCCTGGTGGGCTGCCGTCTATGGGGTCGCACAGAGTCGGCCACGACTGAAGCGACTTAGCAGCAGCAGCAGCAGCAGCGGCGGCCTTTTTAAGAAATACTCAAGTCCCCATCCTCCCTCCCGCACCACTCATTAGTTATCAGAGATGGACTCAGACAACAGAGCTTTGAAAGCTCCCCAGGTGGTTCTAATATGCAGTCAAGATAGAGAATCAAGCATGAGGAGTTAGATCTTTCAGCGCTTCTCAAACTTTAATGTGTAAGCAGATCACCTTAGAATCTTGTTAAGCTCAGATTCTGAGTCTGCAAGCCTATGGGTGGGGCTGGAGGATGCTTCCCAGGTAGCGCAGTGGTAAAGAATCAGCTGGCCGATAAGGAAATGCAGGAGACATGGGTTCAATCCCTAGGTTGGGAAGATCCCCTGCAGGAGGAAAAGGCAACCCACTCTAGTATTCTTGCCTGGAGAATTCCATGGACAGAGGAGCCTG